AAGAGTTCAGCCCATGTTCGGTTTAGGTTTCATGGCTGAGGAGAAAAGAATGACCACAAAGATTTGTGTAAGAGTAAACGACGTGTTCCCACTCAAGGTTTAGCGAAATGGCAAGTCTCCACCTTGGTTTCATAAATTCCAAATTTCCATCTTTAAATTAAGGGAGTTTTGTTTCTTTCAATAGTTGAAGGCTAAAATGGCCCTTTATTATATTTTAATATTTTCATATTCTAAATTCCAGAATCTGATTCCGTGCATTCTCTTTTCCTTCACCGTGGCTCTCTCTCCCTCTTTGTTCTTATCGTTTTCTCCCTTTCTCTACACTCTTTCTTTTTTGTCACTCTCTGTTTATTCTCTATATCTACAGTTTCTTTTGTATCTGTCTTATGTGAAGAAAAAAAGTTTATTTGCTTCAGATTTTGATGTCTATCTCTTCTCTATCAAATGCGCTTGTTAATACTATTTGTAGTTATTGGAATGGTGACAAAATTGAGTTTCAAATGGAGAAAGGTAGTGGCTGGGTTTCTCTGGTGGTTAACGACGAGGATAAGTAGCAAATGTGATGATTTTGATTTATTTGGGTTATCTTGATTTGTGTGTTGCTTTTGGTTATTATTGGTGATCATGGAGTATGAATTTTCTCTCGGTTTGCGCAAGGGTAAATGGGTGGTGGAGGAATCACATCCGACTGGGTGCGATTCTGGCCAAATCGCATCCGGCCATATGCGAATCGATCGGAATCTCACCCGGTCGAATGCGATTTGGCCGGATGGGAGATGAAGAAGATGAAGACATGAGGAGGAGGAAGGAGAGATGATAAAAAAGAAGATGGGAGATGCGGTCGAGTGCAATTCCCGCCAAATCGCATCCGACCGAGTGTGATTCAGGCGAAATTGCATCTGACCGAGTGCGATTTCGGCCAAGTGCACTTCATCTTTTGATTCTTTCTTCTTTTTGGTTACCTGAGCAAATTCTTTTCTGTATTGTAGCGGAATTTTTAACAAAAAGAGAAAACTACTTGCGACACACAAGCTATAAGAAGTGGAGGTTGGGAAGAGTTTATTTCATAGCTTCAAAAGAATGAATTGAATTGGCCTCATAGAATTGCTAAAGCCCTTGATTTGAATCTCTAGAACTTAAAGAAGACCAAGGTAGCTTGCTATCTCGATTCATCATAAGCTTGGGTTCTTTCTTTCCTAAAATCAAGCTGCTAAAGCCTTTAAAGCCTGGAGCTGGACTTCTAATGCCTGACTAGATTCACAGTTAATCACAATAAACCAGAGCCTAACTAGGGTGAGAAAGGGTTTTTCATATATATATAACAGACAGGCTTGTTTTCTTTAAAAATTAACTTAACAATTTGGTTTAATTAGCTGCCTTGCGCGATTTGGCAGGATGGAGTTAGGGGAGATGAAGAAGGTCCAGTCTCAATCATTTTTCTGTTTTCTTTGAGAGGGAGAATTTTCTTGGAGACGGGAAGAAAAAGAAAGAAAAGCGAGGAGGGAACTAGCGGTTGGAGAGAGAAAAGAGTAGCGTGTTAATATAATTGGGAGGGCAATTTGATAATAGCATATGTAATAGTCACTAACCATGTTAATACAAGGGTGGGAATTTGGAATTTATAAAATGGTGAGAACTCGCCATTACACTAAACCTTGGATACGAACATATCGCTTACTCTTTGCGTAATCAAGAAGATAATGAGGACGAAAATAAAGAGAAAGTACTTGAAATATATATTTAATGTGAACAATAATGTTACGGACATTGGGACTCTACACCGAATTATGTGTCCCATGACTCACACCAGTTACATTTCACGTTCACAAATATTTTGCAAGTGAATGGCCGTTCATCAACTATGAATGACCGTTCACTTACGATGGACTCCTGTCTCTATTATATGGATGGGAGTTCACATCTAAATGACACCCGTTCATCAGTAAATAAAAAAAACAATGTAAACAAAAATAATGGATGATTGTTCATAGGTTATGGACGATCGTCCCTAAATAAAGGACGAGCATTCACATATAATGGACGCCCGTCCAATCTTTAAATAATAAAATTTATATAAACAAAATTAATGGACGGGTCCATTATTAATAGTTTTAAAAAATTATAAACAAAATTCAAGGACACCCATTCATGTATTATGGGCGGCCATCTAGGACGCCCGTCCAGACGTTAAATTAAAAAAAAAATTATAATCCATCTATAGTTGCCTGGTTATCATACCCTTGATTTTGTTCACTAGAAAAGATGCTCTCTGATTTGTCAGCACTCTTGAGCGACACATTACTACCTTCACTCAGTTTCCGATTCATTCTTAGATCTTTTTTTCTTAGATTTTACTTCAGTTTGTATTCTTGGCAACCGGTTTGCATTCACTTCAGTTATGGTTTCCTGCAACCCATTTGCGCTCACTTCAGTTATTGATCCCTGCAACCCATTTGCATTCACTTCAGTTTTTGTTCCCCGCAACACGTCTGCACTTGCTTGTCTACTAGCTCTCTCATTTGGTTCCCCAGACAAAGTACTCTCCAATTTATCAACACACTTGTTAGGGAAATCACCGCCTTCACTTGTTTTCTTTTTCTTATGTCTTCGTTTACTTTTTCCAGATTTCACTTCAGCTATTACACCCTGCAACCCATTTGCATTCACTTCAGCTTCTATTCCCTGCAACCCTTTAACTTCAATATGTACTCCCTACATACCATTTTCATTCACTTCAGGTTTAGTTTCCAGAAACCCATTTGCATTCCCTGGATCCCATGGCAGTTTAGCTAATTTATAAAGTTCCTCCTTAACAAAATTGTAAAGCTAAACCCATAACAGTTCTTCATCCATGGAGTTCATCTCTACCAAATTCTACATCTTGTTTCTTCTCTATCTCCTTATGTTTCAATCCTTTTCATTAATCCAAGCTCAACAGCCATACGTAAACAACTATCAACTCGATTGCTACGATGAGTCCACTGTTAACCTTACAAGAGGTTTCGTCTGCAATGGAGTTGAATCCTCATGCCAATCTTATCTCACCTTCAGATCAAATCCTCCCTATAACTCACCTCTTTCCATAGCTTATTTGTTAGCTTCCAAGCCCGCCCTCATCACCGCCCTCAACGGGCTCCCCTCCGACATCGCCACTGTGCCTAGCAACACCATGGTGGTGGTGTTGGTGAACTGCTCTTGTTCTTCCTTACAACTCTACCAGCACAACGCCGCTTACATGATTCTCGACGACGCCAAGAACTACTACACCATTGTTGATGAAACCTACTAGGGGCTCACCACTTGCCGAGGCATGATGGAAGCGAATTCTATAGATTCCAAGAACCTGAGCGTGCGTGACAACTTGGCGGTTCAACTTAGATGTGCTTGTCCGACGAGGAAACAGGTGGTGTCTGGTGTGAAGTTTTTGTTGAACTACTTGGTAACTTGGGGTGATTCCATTTCGCAAATTGCTGAGCTTTTTAATGTGACTGATCAAAGTGTTCTTGATGCTAATATGTTGAAGGAAGAAGACCTTATATATCCCTTCACCCCAAATTTTAGTTCCGCTCATAACCGAGCCCACCAAGATTGATCAAGCTGTGCCATCTCCTCCTCCGGTGAGACCTCTACAGACGCCCGCCAACCTCTTCTTCTAAGAAATGGGCGTTTGTGGGCATTGGAACTGGAGCTAGTCTGTTGTTGTTATTGACCCTTTTGACATCTTTATTTTGCTTCTATAAGAAATCTAAGTCGAAGCTTGTTTCGATTTCAGAACCTATTAAGTCAGATGAATAATGGACGCCATTATTTGTGGACGCTCGTCAATTATTTAGGGACGGTCGCTCATAATATATGAAACGAACGTCCTTGAATTTTGTTTATAATTTTTTAAAACCATTAATAATGGGGACATCCATTAACATATGAATGCCCGTCCATTAATTTTGTTTATATAAATTTTATTATTTAAAGATTCGATCGGCGTCTATTATATGTGGACGTCCATCTTTTATTTAGGGATGATCGTCTATAACCTATGAACGGTCGTCCATTATTTTTGTTTACATTATTTTTTCCATTTATTGATGAACATGCGTCATTTAAATGTGGACTCCCGTCTATAGTAAATGGACTCTCGTTCATATAATATAGACTAGCAAAATATTTATGAACATAAAACGTGGCTAGTGTGAGTTACGAAACATATAATTCGGTGTAAGAATTTGGTATAGAGTTTCGGTGTCCGTATTGTATTGTGAATGTTAACGTGAGACGTTTCTGATTATGTGAATATAAAGGATTAGATACTTCACCAACCAATTATGTTAAGCCACATGTAATTAAATCCACCAATTTAATGCAGCCACGTGTAAACAACATTCATCAAAACCTTCTAACATGTCAAAATCCACTGGTTTTAAAACTTTAAAACTCTGACACGTCAGTCAAACAAGCAAGTTATATACACACTAATTAGAGGTTCAATATTGTTCTCGTAAAATTGGCGCCTCTGATTTCAAAAATTAACGCACGGATTTAGTTTGATTTTTATTTGATTTAAATTTAAATTTAAGTTTTTGAGAGAGAGAGAAAGAAACCCTAGAATCAATCTAGAGAGAGCAAATGATTGTGAGAACGCCACCACCGAAGAGGCCGAGAGCGCCCGACGTCGACAAACCTATCGTCGAGAGTCCGCCTGGCAGCGGCGGCGGAGGCGGAAGCTCCGGTCGCCGCCTCGTCATCTATGAAGATCCTCCTGTAGCTGCGGTGGCACCAGAGTCGTCTCATCAACCGTCCGATCAATATCTCTGCACTTATCAGTGCCGCCAAATGGTACGATCACTGTTGTTGCGAGCTTAGTCATCAAGGTTNTACAAGTTCTTTCTGGATTTGTGATATGCATTTCTGTTTAAAATATTTATTAATGAGTAGAATAATTTGATTAACTTGACTTTGAAGTTCCTTGCAAAAGTTAGAAGTTCTGGAGATTGTGATGATATCATAACTTCAGGATTTGTCATCTGGGAGGTTCTAAGTTTACTATTGTAGTGAGCGGTCCGGTTTGGTTAGGTTCAGGGAGAATTAATATCTGAAAGAATTAATAAGTTAAGTTGTTATGTATTGATGGTTGAAATTCTCTTCTTGAGTATTGTCTTTGTGCAGATTGCCGTTCTGGAGGAACGGAAGAAGGTGGTTGAAGAAAAGGATGAGGATGAAATGAAAGAAAGTGAGACAAATGTATTTACTCACTGGTCATCTTCGAAAAGCAATGAACTAACTGTTGATGAAGCTTTGAAGAAAGAAACTCAGGTAACCACCTCAAACTCCCCTTCAAGTGAACGGTCTTTTCTGTTTTCATATGATTCAGTTTGTCAGTGATAAATTGTTGGTTCTGTGGCATGAATCGCTATCTACCTCATTGTATCACTTGTTTGTGGATTTACCTCTTGATTAGCTTGGCTGAAAATTTTGACGCTATGATGTTGTGGAATGTGCATAGCTTCAATTTTTAAACATTTTTCTCTCTGAGGTTAAAACACTAATCCCCTTCTTGTGCAGGATTCCAACATAAGTCATTTGGATCTGGATTTGTGCTTGAAAGGTCATGGCGACGACCATGATTCTACCGGCCAGGGCAAAGAAGTTCAGTTGATGAAACAAGCTTTTAGCGACCTATTTTAGCGCCAACAATATAACAGTGATGAAGTGATGCTTCATTTGTAATTAAGTAGCCTTTATCTGTCGTGATACATAATCTAGGTTAGCTAGTAGCAGTCTTAAATAAATGAAAACCATTTGATCTTGCTCCTATTTTACTGCCTGTATATATTATTACTTCACCTATGTAGCTTATATGACACCCCTGTTGTGCATGCTGATAGGATTCTTCATCTCCTTTTCTCTACTGTCTGTTGTTGATTATGTTTTCAGAGTCCACTTTAGCAACTGTTGCAGTTGAATTTTACAAGTGAGGACTCATAATTTGATATTGCAGCCAAGAAAGCAGGGCATTCTTGGTTCACCAGATTACCTAAGGGTGAGTGGGTTTGGGTACTCGGCACAAATCCTGGGAATTGGAATCGGACCAACATAGTACCAGTTACTGGGATTTAGTAATCGGAACCAGTACTCTGCTGTTCCTTAATCATAGGAACCGGAATTGTAATCGTCGGTTTCAGTTTTGGTTCCGATAACCTTGTACTGTTCACAACAAAAAGGAAGGGGAAAAAAAAAAAGAACCCCAAAAGAAAAAAAAATAGCAGCACCAAATCACTCGAATCAATTTTCAAAACCTAAAAATCAAACCACATGGGCGAGATTCGAAGAAGAGTAAGAAGGTGAGAAAGTTTGAGGGTTGAGATCATATGATGCATGACACGGTAGCCATCAGAGCCAGAGGAAGCAACCTTAGTTGTAGTAAGTAGTAACAGTAGGTGATGAATCGATGAGTATTGCAAAAATAGAAGTAGAAGAGGGCGACGAGATGGCACAAGAGAAAGGCTCAACCGAGCAAGTAGCAACGCAATTGTACTGGAGAAGTGGTAGCTGATAGAGATGGCCGAGATGAAGTAGACGTAGGAGGCGGCGATGGGGTGGATGGAATGGCAGCCGAAAGGTTTCCTAATTCTTAAAATCTAATTTCTTATATGAAATGTAAAATTACCAAAAAAAAAAAAAAAAAAAAATCTCATTTTTGTTGAAATTTCAATTTAAGTCCCAATTCTTAAAACGGTTCCAACCCAAGTACTTGGTTTTGATTCTCAGGTAGTTTTAGGTTCTTTGAACTGGTGAAACCGATACAGGAATCGCACAGAACTGGTTCCACCTAATTAGTACTAGTTTTACCCAATTGGAAATCAGAATCAACCCTGTGAGGGTAGATTGGGGAGATGGTTGAGATAGAGTAAACGTAGAAGGAGGAGGTGATGGGGTGGATGGAATGGCAGCCGAAAGGTTTCCCCGATTCTTAAAATCTAATTTCTTATATGAAATGTAAAATTACCAAAAAAAAAAAAAAGCTCCCATTTTCGCTGAAATTTCAATTTAAGTCCCAATTCTTAAAACGGTTCCAACCCAAGTACTTGGTTTAAATTCTCAAGTAGTTTTAGATTCCTTGAACTGGTGGAACTGGTACAGGAATCGCACAATACCGACTCCACCCAATTAGTACTAGTTCCACCCAATTGGAAATCGGAATCGACCCTGTGAGGGTAGATTGGGGAGATGGCTGAGATAAAGTAGACGTAGAAGGAGGAGGCAATGGGGTGGATGGAATGACAGCCGAAAGGTTTCCCCGATTCTTAAAATCTAATTTATTATATGAAATGTAAAATTACCCAAAAGAGAAATAAAAAACTCCCATTTTTGCTGAAATTTCAATTTAAGTCCCAATTCTTAAAACGGTTCCAACCCAAGTACTTGGTTTTGATTCTCAAGTAGTTTTAGGCTCCTTGAACTAGTGGAACCCATACAAGAATCACATAATACCAACTCCCCCCAATTAGTACCAGTTCCACCCAATTGGAAACCGAAATCGACCCTGTGAGGGTAGATTGGGGAGATGGCTAAGATAGAGTAGACATAGAAGGAGGAGGCGATAGGGTGGATGGAATGGCAGCCGAAAGGTTTCCCCGATTCTTAAAATCTAATTTCTTATATGAAATGTAAAATTACCAAAAAAAAAAAAAAAGCTCCCATTTTCGCTGAAATTTCAATTTAAGTCCCAATTCTTAAAACGGTTCCAACCCAAGTACTTGGTTTAAATTCTCAAGTAGTTTTAGATTCCTTGAACTGGTGGAACTGGTACAGGAATCGCACAATACCGACTCCACCCAATTAGTACTAGTTCCACCCAATTGGAAATCGGAATCGACCCTGTGAGGGTAGATTGGGGAGATGGCTGAGATAAAGTAGACGTAGAAGGAGGAGGCAATGGGGTGGATGGAATGACAGCCGAAAGGTTTCCCCGATTCTTAAAATCTAATTTATTATATGAAATGTAAAATTACCCAAAAGAGAAATAAAAAACTCCCATTTTTGCTGAAATTTCAATTTAAGTCCCAATTCTTAAAACGGTTCCAACCCAAGTACTTGGTTTTGATTCTCAAGTAGTTTTAGGCTCCTTGAACTAGTGGAACCCATACAAGAATCACATAATACCAACTCCCCCCAATTAGTACCAGTTCCACCCAATTGGAANTCATTCGATCATATAGATTGATCCAAACTTGCATTCAACCAAATAAAACTTATTCAAGTTTCTTCAATCAAATAAGTTAATATATTTTAGTTGATTTAAAAGATCTTTTTTTTTTCTCCTCAAATGACAAACAAGAAGCCCATAATGCATTGAACATTTACATCGTTGATTGAAGAACAATTGATCAATTTGAATAAATACCTTTAGAACGTGAGCAACTGTCCCGGGCGGCTTAGAATTATCTGGTACTTGGAACACCGCATTATGCCGGTGTGGATCAAATGGCTCATTTGTAGGATCAAATTTCTCTAATCCAAACTTTTTTAATACCTGAAGAGATGTCTGAAAACCTCAGTAAAAGGAAAATTGACTTCTAACTAGCTCTTTCTATTATAAAAAATATATATATATAATATAGGAACAAGAAAATCTTACCTCTCCCAACTGTTTCTCAGTCATTTCAACACCTTCAAGAAGCGATTTTAGAAGTGCTGCTGACCCAGTAGCATCATTACAGGCATCAATCTTTGAGAAACTTTCTTTGGCAACTGAAGAAGCTCTTCCCAAATTGTCTGCAACATCCAGTAGACTCTTTGCAAAATTCTGCAGCATATTTTCAAATAAAAATCAATTAAAACCTCCAAATACAGAAAGAAAAATCATCTACAGTTCCAACATTAAAGCAGGCAATATTACAACAAAAAAACCTGAATGGCAAATTTTTTCGAATTCTCTGCTTCACGTCTTGTTCTCTCCTTGATATTCTCCATTTCTGCATAAGTACGAAGAACTTTATCTTTCATATCCTCCGTCTCTTTGTGCTTTGCCTTCAGAAGTTCCTCCCTCTCCCTCAAAAGTTTGACCAGATCCTCCCTCGATAGATCACTCTTACTCTCACTCTCCGAATCTGAATCAGAAAATGCAATTCGTTTAGTACGTCTTCTCCTTCTTTTGATAGATTGAGACATGGTAGATAGGGGTTCAGAATCAAAACCTGATTCTGTTGTTTGATCATTAACTTCTGTTCTTCCCGTATCCTCTACATTATCAGAAGCTTTAGCATCTCCGCACTCGACACCATTATTTTCTGCAGCACTCCCTTGTTCCTTTTCTTTGTGTTCAGGCGATGCAGATGAGAACCCAAAACGATGAAACGGGGATGAACTGAGTGCTGAGTGATGAAAAAGAGACACCTGGCTTGCAACAAACTGGCAAAAAAAAAAAAACACGCATGAATGACAAGCCAAATTTCAACTTAAAGATAATCCAATAAATCCACGAACGGGAATGATCAAGCCTTAACAAAGCAATCAAAAATGAAAATAATTAACATGTAAAGAAGAAAAGGGGCACTTCTTTAACCCTAAACAAAACAGAAAAGCCAAGTCTGAAAATCTGGTCAAGTTTTGTGAAAGGGAAGTCAGTTCAATGAATGATCTAATCTAATAGTTCATTATATTGATTGTACCAACGGCCCAACTGCTTAATAGCACAGAAACAACCAACAAAGACTCAAACTTCGTAGAATTCAGGCACTTTTTAAGCTTTCAAATCCAAACTGAAACACCCAAAGATGGAGACAGAATGTCTTCTCAAAAACTACAGAAGCCCTGATACCCTGCTAAAACCCTGATTCAAATCAACCCAAAAATAAGGAAAAAAAGAAACAAGAAAAAAGAGAAGCCAAACACAGCCCTGATCACATATAGTGAAGTTTGAGAATTAACAGATATAAATCAATATTGTTTAAAGCTATTTCAATCATTCAATAAAGACATGCCACTGAAACATTCCAAACCAAAACAACAGCAATACCAAAAAAAAAAAAAAAAAAAAAAATCCAAACAAATTCATAGATTTCAAGTGTTCATAATTTTTTAAAATCTAAACTTAATCTCCAGAACACATAATAAACTCAAAATTTCAGAAACACACAAGGAAATATGATTCATGAGCAAATAGTCACAAATCCATTAAAAAAAAGCCAAATTCAAAGAAAATTCTTAAGCCCTAATAAAACCCTAGTGAGAATTGAAAACAAAAATTAAAACTTCACTTCATTACCTTGTTAGGAGTCTCATGAACAAGAGAGTTTAACTGATTGGATATTATTGGTAACCGTTGGTCCTTCGAAGAAGACACAAGAAGCAAGGACCGTCGGCCCACACTCCGAGAGACGCGTGACAAAACCCTAGACGCCAACATCGCAGAAGACGAAGAAGTGGCTTGAAGGGGCAAAATAGGAATATAAATATAGTTAGGGTTTTAGAGAGAAAGATTGGATATTTGAGGAGTCCAGCGAACGAGGGGAAATAAGAGAGAGAAATAGAAAGCTTG